AACAACCTCTAAATCCAAAGTGGATGCAAGATTTTAGTGGAATATTATAATAAATAAATAAATAAGATTTGAGACAAAAATTCTCACCCCTGTGGGTTGTGGGCCCATTTTCTATTTTTCATTTTCAAAACCATCATATCTATATGGGCATACTTACTTGGGCATGCATACTTATATATAATAGATGTTCTTTTCAAAGCAATCTTTCTCCATGTTACAAATTTGTGATTTCACACATTAATTATTAAATACCTAGATAGATAGACTGCTTGACAATTTAGTGAGCCTAGTTGTCCATGTTTGTTTTATGGCACCAATTACTCTGTCAATTATTTTTTCCACCTCAAATTATTGGTTTAATTTCGATATTTATATATTTTAATTGAGTCAATAAATAATGTATTTTTATTAAAAAAAATCATAAATTAAAATATCTCAATTAATTCTTGTAGATAAAATCTTTAAAATTGTTTTAAAATGTCTAAAATAGTAAAAATGGACTAATAATTTAGAATAGAGAGTATATTTTGTAGTTATTAGATCTTAAACTCTTTGATACATTAAAAAATGATCTAAATTTTTTTATCTCAAAATATTCTTAATTATTATATAATTGTAAATGTTTTAAAAAGAGTAAAACAGAAGTATTTAAATAAATTAATGAATTATTGGCCCATCCAACATGCATAGAATCTATAAAGATACCTTAACGCTATACAAACTATGGCTACTCATAGAACCCTATATGGATTTAATAGTTATGGCAAAAGGGACAGACCAAATCCACTAATGAAAACTCATAATGCCTCCGCTTGGGAGGAAAAAAACTCGGGATTTTTTAGTTATTTTAGTATAAATAAATAGAGAAATAAATAAATAAAATTTTTAATTTAATAAAACAAAGTATCACATTTAATTCATAATTATTATATTTTTTCTCTTACAAAAGTCAAAAAATCAATCACAAATGAAATTTTTTAATCTCAGATTAAAATAGTCAAAAAATCAAAAAACTAAAAAACTAACCCACGTCCCAAACAAACCCAATGTAATATAGTATACTATTCTTCTTTGATATTATCATCCTTCTTAAAATTTTAATAATTTGAAAGAAAATAGTAGGATAAGAGAAGTTATATAGAATAGTCATAGGAATCTTAATACACTCAATGACAAAATATTTTTAGATATTGGGTAAATTCTTAATCCTGATATTGGCATTTTTAATAGGTTGAACGGGATTAAAAATATCGAATTAAGAGATGAAATTATTAGAGTTTTAGTGTTAGATTAGATATGTAAGATAAATTACGTTTGTTTTTGCACTAATGTACTCATATTAATTAGTTGAAATTAAATTTAAGAAATTACATAAAAATAGTCATTATAGAATAAGTGACTTTATTATTTTTTATAAAATGAGGGTAAAAGGATCTTTAACCATTCAATCCCATAGGATTCAATTACTCTACTCTGTTCTTCTTTTTTTTCATTCAAACAAGATTTATGTAGGATTGCTAATCCAAAAGAATAGCATGTGGATTCACACCAAAGCTTTTGTTGGAGGGGGTGTTCTTATTTGATCAATCACATTCTCTAATCTCTTTATGTCAGGATCATTTTTTCAGAAAAATAGACTAACATATATATAAAGAGATCCTTAGTACTCTTAAAAGCATGCAAAGCCTAAGATTTTGCTTTCTTTTTTTTTTTTCTTTTTGTTCCTCTCTCTCAATGGCAATTTTTTAAACTTATCTTCCATTCTTTTGTGAGGAACTGCAGAGTCATATGGTCAGAGTAATAAGAGTTTTTTGTACTCTCTCTCTCTCTCTGAGCTTCATGCAGTGTGAATGAGCTTTCCTTCCTTTCTTTAATTTTTGTCATTTTCTCAATGAAAAGAACAAGAGGAAATACCCTTTCAACATTTAAACATGGAACATTATATATGTATATATATATTAGAAAGTTATGCACATGTGATGCGTATACAGAAATAAAAAATAGTTGTAATTCTCTTCTAAGAAAAGAAAAAAAAAAATTTGAATGTAGATGGAAGAAGAAGTTTTTTGAAGTATCAATATTTAAAATAGAATTTAATCAGTTATATAGAGGTAATTTAGACATGAAAAAATGATACTCACGATAAACAAATAAAAATAAATAATAATGATAAGATGCCCATAGTAATATGGGAATCCATGACATGTTAATGTTGTGGGAAAGATTATGGTACACACATACATTTTTATACTTTCTGAGTCATAACTAACAAAAACAAAAAAGGTCATAACCAAACACAAAAAAGTTATAACCAAAATCTTAAAATAATGTCATAGCTAAAGAAGAAAATTTGTCATAACTAAACAAGAAAATAGTGTGACTACGGATGCATATGGTATAAGAGTGTACATGATAGAATTCTTCTAATGTTGTATTTAGATCTTGAATTTGTAAAAAAATAAGGAAAGAAAGAAAGAAAGAAAGAAAGAAAGAAAGAAAGGAAAATATTTGTTGAAAGATAAATTTATATATATAATTTTTTTATATAAATTTAAAATTCAAATACAAAACCATAAAGAAATGGCATGCCCCTTTTAATCCACCAAATATTGTCCCCAATGTCAAAAAGGGGGCTATTATATGGGACACATAAGTGGAAGGGGAAAATGATTTTATTTATGTAGAGTTAATTATCACCAATTGAGCCCTAGAGACAATTACCACATGCTAATGGGTCCACTAATGGGAGGACAATCATTGGATGCAAATCCAATAACATCAAACACTCAAATAAATTGTAAAATTGCAATCATATTTACTTATTTACTATTTATTTAGCTAGACAATGAAAGGGTTTGAGATTAGATAAGCACTAACTTGTAAACATTTATTTAGCTTGATAGATAGCATATCAATAATGCAATCAAATAACCACAATGTCTTTAAAGTTGGAATGTCTCTATTTTCCTTTATTTTAAAAATCAAATAATGTGAAATTGGATATGCATGTGTGTGCACATACAAATTCCATAAATTTCGCCCAAGTAATTATATCAAATAATGTTGTTTTATTATATTATATTACACAATCAATATACTTACATAAAGTTATTCATCTTGTGATTGGTTGTAGTTAGGATAAATTGGTTCTTTTATTTTTAGGGCAATTAACACAAAGCAAAAACAAGTATGCAAATATTGTTATAAGAGAGGGTGAATAACACGAAAAAAGGGGACCCCTATCATATCAAAGATGTAGATGAGGGATATAGATGAGTGCAAAAGGACAATCCAATTGAGTCCTTTACCCCACCCATATATAGTGCAAAATAAATCGGTGACTTGTTTTGTGAACATAAAGAACAACTTATTGAATGATAGCCCACAATAAACAAGGCCCTTCATTTTGGACCCAACATTCCTGTTCACAAAATTGTTCACATCTTGCCCCAATATGATGAGAATTATGTCTGAAATATATACCTCCGTTTAAATGGTATTATTATTGCAAATTCTCTAAGCATGTGTCGGGAAAAATATTTAATAGTCTTGAAATATCAACTCAGCACATTGATATGGTATTTTTTGATTAATAAGAGCAGTAGTTATGAAATGTGTGGAGTTAACCTAACATCCTTAGTTGATTAAATGAGAGATAGGATCAGTTTCATTCATTGTTTTTGAAATAACCTCATTGATCAAAAATACCACATGCACATACGGTGATTATATCTCAGACTACTGAATAATTTTCTTTGGAGTAGAAAGGAAAATCCCCTACTCCATGTGCCACAAACCTATGTAAAATGACATTTTTATCCCTTCTCACCAAAAGTTAGTTTGATTAATATTTCTAGCTTTCTAAATTTGGGGGAGGAGGGTGTTTTTGGTGCCCGAACCAATGTTCATATCCATTTTTCAAAATTCCAGAGGCCACAATTCACTAATTAGACAGATATTGAGCAATAAGTGATCTTTGTGTGTTTGATTGCTTTTAAAGTTTATAACATTCATAGATTATTACCACTGCAATAGCCCTTAATAATGCCACATGGCCTTAGCATTATAGTTATAGCTTGATAAAATATATATGATATAATTATACATGGAGAGTGAAGGAATCCCAAGAAAGAATGTAGAGTTTGGCATGTTACTAAAGCAAGACAGAAGCACTACAAGAAGGTAACTTGTAGGCATACCTTCTTAGGGATTTACAAATATTCCAAACAAAACTTTAGGGTTGTTATTATTATTATAAATGTTTTGGAGAGTTGCATTATTCACTGTCATGCCTTGAAATCACAAAATTAAAGGGGAAAAAAAGGGCTTTTTGTGCAGTTTTTATATAAAAAAACTGCATGAAAATCATCAGCATAAATGGCTTTCAAAGGTGAATGGATGGGGAAAAAGCAAAGATGGTCGTTGCTTTTCTTTTCTTTTCTTTTTTTTTTTTTCTTTTTTTTATGCTAAAGTGGAAAAGACCAATCAGTTGAGGTAGGAAACGATGTGTATATGAAAGAGAAAAGAGTGTGTTTTGGAAAGATTTTAATTTTCTGAACTTTATTTCTTTTTGTATATGTCGCATTGTCAGACTTGTTTAAGTCTCTCTTGTTAGATATCTCAACGAATAGAGGCTCTTATGATCATGCCACAGAGAATTGTTATGCATTTACCTTTTTTGGGGGCCAAGAAAAAGATGGGGCCCAGCCCTGTTGGTTAGCCATTTCTCTACATTGATGTGTGACTGAGGGCTCCAATGGGCCCAACTAGCACTATCTAGGCTGGGCTTTCCATCTCTTTTGGTCTGCATTCAAATAGAGGTTGGCCTCTGTCCAGATACTCTTCCTGTGCTAGAAAGGAGGGTCAAAATTAGGGCTGATTATTTCTGAATGCATGTTCAAATTTTTTCATGGGAAACCAAACCATATAAAAAAAAAAAAAAAATTGCGTTTTTGAGAAATGTCTTCATTCTCTTAGCCCAACAAAATAGAAGCAAAGAATTTAGCCCCTCTCCTTCCTTTTCTTTCTTTTCTTTTCTTTTCCCTTTCCTTTTTCTTTCCATAACAAATCCAAGAACCAAACAACACAATAGAGTTCCAAGAAAAATACCAAGGAAATATCTTATTTGATCTGTAATCATTCACTATGAGATCAATATGTGCCTCCCTCCCTTGAATGGTAGTAGCACCCTTATTTTTCAAGATAACAAAATCCTGTACACAATTTGTTAGATCCTAATCATGTCAAAGTGCCACAATTTTTCTTAAGTATTTCGACAACCCTTTGTGAAAGACTTTCGGCAAATGTTCCTAACAATGGCTCAAAGCTCGAAACATCTGCATTGGTTTCACAACAGAAATGTTGGTAGATTGCACCAGTGTGGTAACTTCTTGAACTTTCTTTGCTATTGATGGCAGCATCTCAGTAGCCTCGCTGTATAACTGAGACTCAGATCCTATCGAAGCCTCCTCTACCGTATTGGTCAGAGTTCCTAATTTAGAAAATAACAGGAATGCATTCTCAGCTGCGGTCTCCAAATTGAGTAATGCTTCTTTGCATGCCATGATTGTATTTTGCTTCTCACATCCCTCAAAATTAGAATCCGGCTGGTTTATGATATTTTCAAGATCAAGGTTCCCTGAATTGTCCGTGGCAAAGCAATTGGCTGAATCACTCTGCGAGATAATGGTAGCCGAGCTCTGCAACTTTGGCATCATGTTCTTCACGTCCTGTAAAGATTCAAAAGAAATCAGGAAAGGCATCTTAGCTTGGATTCTTTAGTGTCGTTTTACATGTAAGTTAAGAAAAGTTCTCCAAAACCGAAAGGAAATATATATACATATATATATATTCTAAATAAATATTTTAAGTTCAGATTAAAACAACCAACCTACATCATACTCAATAACTACATTAATAAAAAAAATTAAAAAAAGAGTCTAAAACTGATAATTCAGTGATGAATGGAGAGCCTGAAACTGACAAACTAAACATACCTGAAGTAACAAGCTTGAAAAACCATATATGATTTCATTCAACATTAGTTTTAAAAAAAATTTGTTTTGTTTCTCTGAATGTTCCTCCAGCATAATTTAATCGAAAAAGTAAACTTGCCAAATCTATGTTGTATTAATAGACTTACCTTTTCACAAGTACTTTGCAATTCCTCCAGGACCAGTGTTTGTGGGTCCTGCTGCATAGCAAGGGAAGTGACTTCTTTTCCCTCTTTCATACTTTCACCACCTAGATCCCGAATGGGCGTGTCAAATAGTTTTTTCTGGCCTCTCAGAAGGTCCTTCCGTAGAACAAATTGTGCCGAGTAGCTTTTCCTTACTGATGATTTCCTTTCCTCTGTCTAAAGCAGAGAATATGTAAATGAGACTAGTAAGACCATCTCCAACCATGTGTCAAACTTACTATCAAATTTGAATTTAATGAAAAATTTGTCATTTTTCAGCTCCAATGGTTTCATCAAATCGGTATCAAATTATGTTACCAAAAAACGCAAATACCCTAACGAATTACGTATTGGTACGTACATTCCGAAATATGATACACTTCCGTTCCAAAACAGTAAATTTAGTATTCCAAAGCGATTCCAAAAGTTTTTTTCAATATGTCCTTAAATATTACCTTAGGAGGAAAAAATTCAAATATAACGAACTAAAATCTAAGGTGAGTTAAGTTTTGACAAGACAAAAAATCAAAAAAATGGGTCATAATGCTCATAGAAAATATTACATCTTATTGGATATCTGATAGTTAAAAAAAAAAATTACTCTAGAAGTACCTAAAATTTTTAAGTATAATATTTACAAGTCTACCCCTATCGTACCACATTTTAGAACATGTAGCGTACCACGTTCCCGTTCCGTATACCAGAACAATCCACGTTCCAGGTAACATAAGTATTAAATCTAGGATTTCACTTTTCTTTCATCAAACTAAGGACCAATGTGCAACACCGGATATCCCCCGGATGTCCTCCCGAATGACCACCTAAAGGCAAAAGTTTGTGAAAAAATTACACAGGCCAGTCGTCCGCCTAGTCAACCCCCTTGATGACCACCTCAAGAAGAAAAATTGTGAAAAATTTGCACTGGCCGGTTGACCAACCGGTTGTCTGCCTGGTCGACCGATGGTTTGACGAAACCACAAAACCCTCTATTGGAGCATTTGATATGAAATAGAGCTTTTCCTTAAATTTTTACTCAAATTTGGTGGATGTTAAAATCCACCTACTCTCCACCTACTTCACCCACTTAAACCTACTCCACTAAACCTAACCCACTACACCACTACCACCTCACCTACTCCACTAAACCTAACCCACTACACCACTACCACCTCCACTTCACCTACTCCTTACCTACTACACACTCACCCTCTTCTATATATAGGAATCATGAATCATTGTAATAGATATCAATATAAATCAATCAATAATACAATTCTCTATTTCTCTTTATACATTAAATTTCTACATGGTATCAGAGCAAGGTTAAGCACTTAGTATTTTTCCGCCGGACCTCAACCTATTCCGCTAAATCCTCTCTCTTGAGGCCAATGTGAATTCCTCTTCTTCATAATCTGCACTAACTGTGGCATCTTTTCCTATTTTTTTGTTTTCACTGAATTTTTTTAATATTTTAAGCAATTTTTTTAATTTTTAGACACACCTAACATAAATACACTTAGAAAGTATAATATTTGTGAAAAAAATCTTTAAAAAATTCACTAAATACCAAAAAACAAACAAAAAAAAAACTAAAATTTAGTATATTTTTCGTATTTTTTTGTATTTATTAATTTTTTAAAATATTTTTTCCTAAATATTTTACTATTTAAATACATTTAAAAAAGTAAAAAAATTGCTTAAAATTTTAAAAATATTCGCTAAAAACAAAAAAATACAAAAAACAAAAAACTCAATTTTCAAAAAACTGAATTCAAAAAACTAAAACCAAACAAACAGTATTCTCCTAAAGTTGTTGGCTTAAAACATATTTCTTAAGACTTCCTCATTTATATGGAGAATCCAGTTAACTATTCTGCTTAGCAGCTACAAAGTCTTTTACTGCTTCGAAGTAGAAATGGAAATTTAGTTCTTCCAGTAAAGAAAACAGATTTTGGAGTTGTGGCTATATATCTCATGATAGAAGGCTAAAAGACAAGATATGGCCCTATCAGTAAGGAAACACATTTGGATGCATCCTGCGATCCCAGCTAGTGGGTATACAAGTTTTCCTCTAGTCATTATCTAGCAAGAATGATAAGGTAGATCATCTATCCACAAAGAGAGAAGGAAGATTATCTATGCCAACGTTTTGAAAACCGGACCGGTGAGCGAACCGGAAAAGGGTCCAGGTGGATGGGTCACCAGTTCAACCGCCGGGTCAAAGCGGTCAAACCGTGACGTCATAATTAATATTTATATAATTAAAAAATATAACTATAAATTATAAATAAATAAAAATATATATAAATACTCAAATAAAAATAAAAATTGTTGCATAGTATTTATAAATAATATTTAATAAAGTCATAATTGATAAAAAAAAAGTCACTTGTTTTAAAGAAATTAAATTTTTTAAACATTCCTTCCAAAAAAATTGATTGAATTCTAGATTTAATTTTGGAGGGAAATAAAATTTTCAACTCTCCCTCCAATCAATATGTTTCAAATAATTTGATTGAATCCCACATAGAATTTTATAGGTTCTCTTTGAAAAATCTTTTCCTATAAATAGGAATAGACTTTCATAATTTTCTCAAACTTTCAATGAGACTCTTCCTTATGAGAGAAGACTCTTGAAGTAAGAATTTTTAGTCAAAATTTTGAAATATATTTATATATATATATATATATAAGAAAGAAAGAAAGAAAAGAATAAAATTAAAATTAAAAAAAAAAACGGGCTGACCCTCAAAACCCGGTTCGGGTCATCGGTTTTGCCGGTTTGGCCGAAAGGTCTTCCGATTTTGCTCCCACTCCGGTTTTAGGGGGTTGACCGGACCGGAACAAGGACCGGTTCCCAGTCCGACCGGCCAGCCCGGTCTGGGTTTCAAAACAATGATCTACGCGAGGAAACTACCAACCTTCAACCTTCCTGACAAATCACCAAAGTTGTGCTTGAGCAGATCCTTAGCTTGAGACTTCATGCAGGCAGCATTGACTTCCATCAATGCTTGTAACCCACTTTCAGTTGTTTCTGACTGAAACTGTTCTGATACTTCCGAAACAGACACCTCCTGGCACGCACTTGCACTACTTATCTCTAATTCATCGCTGCTATGGCTTGCTGAGCCAGAACCATTTTGTCTGGCATGTTTGGTTAAAGATGCACCTTCACCATCAACATGGTTTCTAAGCCCAAAGCTGGGTTCCACTGGAGAATTATTCACACTGGGATCCCTGGACGAGACTTTAATGACCTCAATATCACTTGTCATCTCCAAAGCTGGGTCTTTTGCTGCATAAAAATCATTACTGCATAAGATATAAAACAAAATACCAGTGGCTTGAAATAATTTCCACTATGATCTCTAATTACAGACAAGTATCTCTACTACTTGAAATCAGTCAATACAACATGGTGAACTGTAACGAGCCTTCCATGTGCCTTTTTTTTTGTTAATGGCTATGTAGTGAGATACACGAGTCTGCCAGTAAAAAGTATCTACAGCAGCCACTAATACATGTAGTAGTAACCCACCCAAAGAATACCACTCACACCGTAAATCGAGCCCATAAAAGCATCCAGGCTGTTTGTGCATGAAAATTTGGAAGCCAACCAACCACATGATTTTGGACACAGCAACATGTAAGCATAACAAAGACAGGCAAAAAGAAAATCAAGGTGCACTTCTGGTTGTTTGCACAAAAGGTTATGAAACTTGCGTTGAAAAGCTAGATATTGTTAAAATTCACCTACTACACACCTACCACTACCACCTACTACACACTCACCTACTTCACCTACTCTCCACCTACTCCTCACCTACTACACACTCACCTATTCTCTTCCCACATCCTCTCTTCTATATATAGGAATCATTGTAATATATCAAAATAACAATAAATAATACATCAATTTTAACAGATATCAACACCATCTCCATTCTTCATGCTTCCATTAGTATATAAATAGCAAGGACATAGTGTGAAAATTAAGGGTTTGGCCTTACACACACTTGGAATGGTCACCATCATCTTCATGTCTCTCATATCCCAAACCCCTGGGGAATTTAGCGAATCCAAGCAAACAGTATGAATGGTGAGCCAACGCCTGTCCAATGCAAAGCTCCTCCTGAAGCACAAATATGAAACCATGAAAGCATTTAGTAAAGAACTTAGCATTCACAGGACAAAAACCATTGCCAAAAGTTATTGAATGCTAACCTATGGGTTTCTTGAGGCATTTTAGATCCTTGGCTGGTATCGGTATCAGATGAATGTCTGGACATGCTACCAAGAAATGGTTCACTGCCTTCCAGGTCATGTTTAGATGGGGTTTGAACATTGGAGTCCCCGTGACTACCAACCTATGGAGAAAACACATTCAGTCCAACTTGCTTGTAACAACAGTGGGAAGCATGAGCAGACAGATTATAGAATCACAGATGTGTGGCACATGTTAATTCTTTTAAGAATTGCGAATAAGATCATGGATGGTAAATTATACAACTATCAGCATTGATGTAATAGTTAACTTTCATTTTTCTCCCAAAAATGTCCTATTTGAAGGGTTAAATTGTCTGGTTCAGATGATTTAACTGCATTTGATAGAATGCATTGACAGAACTTGATAGTGTTGCCAAGTACAAGAAGTCACTGGAATGTGGATTATTGTTGTTAAGGGCAATGGAAAAAATGGCCACCGTTTAACGTTTCTTGGCCTCCTGAACTGCTATGTAAATTTTTTTTACAAATTCCCCATTTTTTTTTGGTGTCGTTTTCGTTTTCTTCATTCTTGTTTTTCACATGTTTGGAAACAAACACAATGAAAGGTTCGAAAACACCCATTGCTTTCATTTTTTGTGTGACAATAGTTTTAAAAAAATCAGAGTGACACATTTTCACAAGTCATCTTTTAAAATACCTGGGACGAAGTATAGTCCGGGTCTATAGGCATGATCCGAGGGCTATTTACTTTGGCTCTTGCCCACTTGGGGAGTCTGGAAATGCTAAACTTAAAAGCTGAGGTCTCTCGAAGACCACCTCCTTGACAAAAAAGTCTGACAGGATTGGAACTTTCTGGCAGTGTCCATTGTTCAGGATTGATTTTGAATGGGTGATCATCCTCTTCATAAAACTTTAAATGACTTAAAGATGCAGGTTGGACTATGCTGCTTGGAGAACTTGGCCTGGAGTTTTGCTTAATTTTCTGTAGTATCTTTGAAGACAAAGGAGCAGGCACTTCCCAAACAAAAATGCAACCATCACCAGCAACCTGAAGACATCAATAAATTGCACAATGCATTTATGAAGTCAGAAAAAAAAAGGAGGGCCAAGGAAGCAAAAAAAAAAATTGGCTTCACATATTCACACAAGTTTCCTTCAAATGAATTAAGGCTTTAGATAATTTTAACAATGCGAAATATATTACCACTTTCATTTCATGCAACAATAGCAAGAGCAAGCCTACTGCATGTAAAATACAGGATGGTCTAGAAGAATCCCATCATGTTCAGTAATTAAAATACGAAGTAGTTTGGAAGAAACAAAGATTAAGCATTAAAGTTGCACATAATTTCTTTCAGGTCTTCAAAAGGTTAATTTACGTAGGTAAATAACCTGGCTTCACTTAATCATGGCATGCAATACAGGGAAAGGTACATTAATTAGCCAGGAAAAATTAGTAATAACTCACAGAAACTATGTGCTCACAGTCTGGTAAGAAAATAATGCCAGTAATGACTTCGCCATGCCCCTCTGCTCGTGCAACAATCTCCCCAGTAAAAAAGTCATACATGCAGATAGACCTGTTAGAGTAAGAACAAACCAAAAAACTGCAGCTCGGGTCCATAATTACCTGCCAAAACAATTTGTTTGCAGCATAAGATCATTGTGATGAAGGTGTAACCTCGCCTTGCTGACCATACTAAGATAGCTCACCTTTACCAGGTCTCCAGACTCTCCTTCTTGCTTAAATGATCTAATAAGTTTCCCAGTAGCAATGTTGAATATGTTTATCTTCTTATCCTATCACCAGAACTTATTCATCAGTATTCAGTCCCAGGCAATGGCCATTATACAAATCATATATCCACGTTTTATATTACAAGGCCAGATAACCAGCATTGATTCAGTTTCTGTGGTGGACAAGAGTTGACTAGTATGATAACTTGCAAAAGTCAGTCAAGGAACACATTAATGGTTACCATTTGCATTTTATTTTGCTTACTAGAAATATCAGTTAAAATACCAGTTTACCTCCCCTACAGTGACAGCAACATCCATAGGAGGATTTACAGCCATGTCATACACAGCTCCAAAAGATGCCATTTGATGATTACAACGAGAAATCTTACAATCAGTATCTGTTACAGCTACTCCATCTACCACCTACTACCACCTACTCTTCTATATATAGGAATCATTGTAACATTCAATACATCTATCAATAATACAATCAATATCTATACAATTCTCTATTTCTCTTTATACATTAAATTTTCTACAAAATATATGTAAATGACACAGATGTAGTTGGATGCCACTTGAAAATGAATTATCCCTTTTGGTCCTCATAAGAACTGAAGGGATAAGATGTGTTACAATGCTACCAAGAAATTGGGGTAAATAAGCAAGTACTACAGCAAACAGAATTAAACTTTGAGCCTAAGTTATCTCCTGAATTTATCAGATGTTTATATGCAACAAGTTAGAACCATTTCAATCGCCACGAGGAATAGTATACTCCTCTTCCAAATGATAAATCAGTCAAATTGACTTAAATTCATTGGGTTCTACAGAACTCCCTGAAAACCATATTGCTTTAGAAGAACTCACCTATCAGAACTGCAACTTAGAATCTTACAGCCATCACTAATGAGTTTTACAGAAGTGACAGCGGCTGAATGATCATCAACACTTCCAATAATATCAAAATTCCTGAAGTAAACAAATAAAAATGGTGAATAAAAAGATACCTCCAAAACTTGAACAAGCTCAAAAAAAGTTACTACATTACCTTTTGACGTCATAAAGATGGATCATTCGATCCCGTCCTCCTGAAGCAAGAAAGTAATAGCTTCCTAAAATTTCTTCAGAAAAAACATCCTTTTTGCTTGACAAGCTAAAGCTTAGTGACAGGATTTCTGCATCATGAGCATCCTGCAAGAAAAATCCCCCAAAACCTATTTATGATAATTTGCATAGATTTACAAAGCAAAAAGGATAAGAAAAATGAAATTTTAAGGCTCACAATGTTGTTTAACCAGCAAGATTTTTCAGCATTAAATATAGGGGCCTACATTTACCTGAACACAAATATAATCAGATGTGTATAGGTTATACACATGAAGGTTACCCTGGCAATCACCAGCAGCCAGGTGCTTTCCATCTGAACTAATTGCCAATGACCGAAACCCTGGCACGCTAATTCCAAGCTCAACAGAATCTCGTTCAAAAACCCCAGCACTTACTGCAGACAGAAACAGAAATAGACAATCAAAGAATTAAGCAATGAAACAGTTAGCTATACTCTGATAGGAACAAATTTTAGTATACATGTATACATGCATATACACATATATATAGACACGTACACATATCTGTTGGCGCAAGAGCTGAATACCTAAACATGTAGCTTTAACTGTCTCAGTCAATAAAAAGTTGTGGTTTGTAGCAAGAGTCAGATCATCCATGGATGAAACAGGTTGCAAGGCAAGATCCCAAAACCTTATAGTACCATCCGCTGAGCATGTTGCAAAAGAAACACCACCAGAACAACCTCTAGCAACACATGCCAGACATGGATCATGCATTTTTTCACACGGAAGATTCTTAATGTCCCATATGCATGCACTGTGTGAAACTAGCACACAAAACCTGGTAGCCTGGATAAATATTTAAAAAATATATATATATTTACCACTTTCTGTTGTAAATGAAGGTAATAAGCTTTGAAAACGAATGCCTGGGGACTAATACTTAGAGCAATCAAAATCAACGGATAGTGGGGTACGGACAAGGAATTCAAGATGAAATTGCAAAACAAATGACAGTTAATAAATACCAAGTTTTAGCAATCACCTTGTCTATATCTTGAATGTCCCATATGTAAAGACTGTGGTCTCCATAGATGACCACTGCAAAACAAAAAAATAAAGTAAAATAATATATGTGCAAATAAAGGTAGGCAATTATCATGATAGATCCATTACTAACCAAGCTTTTCGGAGGCCAAGAATTGACAAGCAATTGCATTAGGAAGAGTGGGCAACAACTGAAGATCCTTTTGGCTTACTTTTCCAAGGCAGTCCATGTCATCTTCCTTTTTGCATCTTTTCATCTCAGTATGGTGTAAACTTCCAGAATATTCAAGGGACTCGATGGTAAAAAGTTTTACAACTCCATTATTGCATGCACAAGCAATCAACTTGTTTGATGTAGATAGCGCAAAAGCTTTCTTAACCTGAAGAGTAGGTTCTTTGAATTACGAAAACAATAAAAGGTGAAACTGATCAAGAAAAGATATCCTTAAGATGTGTGCAGCACTTTAATCTCGGTACAATAATTCTAGATCTATGATAACTTGATAGTTGAAATGTAAGAGGTGCTCCAACAATTTCCATAATTTAATAAATACATGATTTAATAAATGGTTTTACCACCTCTTCACAAATCATGGCACATGTACCAGTACTTTATATACCAGACAAAATATTCTTGTTAGTGACATGCATAGGTTATTCAAACGGGTTCACCATGGACAAGTTGCAAAAGGGTTCAAGTTAAACAACAACTTCAACCACCACCATAACACACTAGTTGAATTACTGCATGATTGGATTACCAATCACATGTACCTTTAGGTCCACTGAATTTCTTATTGACAACCCAGAATGGAGAAGATATAGAACACCTGTAAATGAAAGAAAGGGTATTTAAAAGCAATGCAATATCTTAAATGCATTAAACATATAACGTTCAATGTAAAGTTACCTACCTGCATCAGTCAATGCATAAATAGGTAAAATTCCACCAGCCTGATCACGATTAACAAGACTACTGTTGGTCAAAACAGGAGATGAAACAGCTACAAATGAGCATCCTTTCTGGTAACCTAGATTAATGGCCTTCCCATGCATTGCCAGAGACTTAGCCCCAGCATTTGCACGAGGTCTTGCAGATGATCCAACTGTCCAGAACTTAAGGTGCTTCTTCCCAGCAGTTACAATGAATTTTGCATCTGATGAGAAGCAAACTGATTCTACCGAAGAACAAGATGAACATGCTTTAAGCTTTGTAACTAACATCCCACTCCGCCAATCCCAGAGGCAAATGTATCCATCATGAGGAAATCCAATAGAAACCAGATGTTTCCCTATGAAGGAAAATAAAATAAGAAGCTTCAATTAAGAAAAATAGAAAATAGATTAGATACAATATTCTTAATAATAACATTTCTTGACAATGACCAAATAGTACAAAAAAATATTGCAAGTGTGGAAGATCCAACTGACTTGTTTAAACTAACCATCAGGTGAGAAAGCAGAGCATGCCACACCATGTTGATGGCTTTTTAGTTCAGATAAGAAAGCCAAACTCACGCAGTCCCATACTAACACTGCTGCCTGATGCCCTGACTGCAAAATTATGTTAACCAAATTCAGGTAAATGATAAGAATTTTTTTTTTTTTTTTTTTTGGAAGTAAATTATTTTCCAATAGTTCACCAAATTCAATTTCAGGTGCAACTGAATACTTCTGCAAAGACCTACATATTTCCCTCCCTTTTATATAAGTAGGCCTACCAATTTTTATTTGACATCATTCTCCCAAAGGGAAATTTTCAAATTTAAAGTTGAGTAGACACTACAAATCCAACTATGTTTCTTCAAGTAAAATCACCAAAAAAACAAGAAAACTGAAAACAGCTTATAGACATTTTTATTTTGAAACCTGCACTAGGATGAATGTACAATTCAACTCAACTCAACAAGCCTTGGTCCCAACTTCTTGGCTTGGCTACTCGGTCCATCTTTTCTAGCGGGCACCTTGTGCAGCCACATTCTCAGTTAATCCAATGGAAAGAATACAATATGTTAAGAAAATCAGTTGAAATGGAAATGAGAACGGTATTACCCCTTGTTAAGCCTCAAGATAGCTTTTTCAATAAGGCTGCCAGCCTGCCAGTATTTTATAGCCCTAGACGTAGTGCTAGGCCAATTAAGAATGATGCTTAAAATCAGAAAGCACATGGATTGATCCAATGTATCTTCTAAACCATTTTAACAATATATCTAGCCCAACCTAACAAACTAAACAAGACATTATTTAAAATAAAATATTAAAAAAAAAAAACCCCAAAGAAGCCAAATTCTGGGTCTTGAATATTATATCCAATTGAGCTTTTATACGGCCACGGTCTAAAAAATGCAACAACTGTGAAAATACAGAGCTCCCTGAAGTAAATCCTAAATTGGTTTGAACAACATGATTTTCAACCACGAATAAACCAGACTTCACATCATCTGTGACGAAAACTTTTGAATACATAACAAAGTATTAAAAATTATGTGCCTTTGCTTAGAAAGAATTGAATTTCCTACCTCTCCAGCTGCCACGAAACCCCCATCTTTCGACATAGCTACGCAGCTCAGGGGCTTCGGCGTTCGATTGGAAACCACGAGGTGTGACTGGGACCCCGATTCCACATTATAAACCACCACAACACATCCGGCCACATAAACACAGCGCGAACCGGAAACATTCGAAGCCAATCCATACGCATTCTTCGTTGTCAATCCAATAACTTCTTTCAATTTCAACTACAAGCCCGAAAACAACAATGGCAATCACATCAGCTCAAAGTGAGAGTGTTAGAGATTGTTAGGGTTTTGGGGAATGGTGGAGACAGAGCTGAGAATGTACCTTAGAAGAAGAAGAGTGTGATTTCTTGAGCTTGCGATTTGGTTTCATTTTCAATTCAAAACCCTAAACGAAGTGAGAGAGTTTCGGACTTCTTTACATTCAGCGAGTGTGATTCAGAGTAGGGAGAGAGAGAGAGAGAGAAAGAGTTGGGGCGGGAAATGAATGCAAATTAAGGAAGATCTCGATCGTTACGATATGATTTTCGAATCGGAATGTACACCACACTGTACATTTAGGTCCCATTAACGATGGGCTTTAAAGGCCCGTCCAAATCAAATTGTGGCCCGGCCCAATTTTTGAATTTAAGGAAGTTGGTTGACATGACATCTGTGGTGTATATTTAGAGTGTTTTGTTTTTTTAGTTAAACAGTTCGAAATAAATACATTTTATAAAAAAATTCAAAAAATTAAAAGTTATTAAAAAAATAAAAAAGTTAAAAAAGTAATTTTGAAAAAATAAGGCTGTGTTTGGTGTGAGTTTTTAATTAATTTTGTTTGGTTGTAGTTTTCAAATCATGATTCCAAATCAATTTCAAAATACATTTTCAAAACATGTTTGGTAAATCAGACAGTTTTTAAATTTTTGGTCTACCCGGACATCCTCCCGAATGTCGGGAGTATGTCCGGGCGGTCGTTCGGCCAGTTGGCCGGAACAGTACTTTTTTTTTTTTTTTTTTTTTGGCAATTGCCAATCACCACCTGTTATTTGGGGGGGAAAAAAAATTATATTTTTTTTGATAATTTGTAAATATACAAATTATTTTTTTAGACCAAAATGACAAATTATTTTTTGAATTTAATTTTAAAAAGAGTTTGGTTATGAGTTTTGAATATAATTTTCAATAAAGCTTTGTTTTGTGTGTTTGGTTATGAGTTATAAATTTTTCAATTAAGTTTTGAAATCATAATTAAATAATTTTTCTCATTTTATATGTTACATCAAAAATTCAAAACTCATAACCAAACAAATTTTTTCTTTTCAAATCATAATTTCAAAACTCACAAACTCAAAATACAACTTTATTCTCAAATCATAATTCTAAAACTTTACCAAACGCTATCTAAATTATTCAAATCAGTCATTCAGGTTTTTCCAATAACTAAGGGGTGGTTTGGCAACTTAATAAAATAGTCAAAAAGTAACTATAAAAATTTAATCTTTTTTCTCTATTTTTTACACATCTTTTCATAAAAAATTAAAAAAAAAAATTAGCCAATGCCCAAGTCACCCCTACAAAATTATTTTTAAACAAATTAATTTTTTAGATAAATTACAAGTACATCTCTAAGGTTTGCATAAGAAAGTAACTAATTTTTTTTTATTTTTTCTATTAATTTTATTGAATAAAAAAATATGTGTAATTTCTAAAATTATAAGAAATAATTCATATTTTAAATAAATTTTAGAAAGTGTATTTATAATTTATTTTAATTTTTTTACATCATAAAAAAATTAAAAAATCAAAAAAGTGGTTTAAAAAAAAAGGGTCCCAAGTATTTTTTGTATAGTCTTTATATTTTACTTTTATTCGATATATATTACAAATAATAATAAAAAAGAAAAAATTAACAGAAAGTCTCATATCTATAATCTATAACATCTATAAAAGAATGAAAGGTGTTGAATCTAACACAAAACGTCAAAATAATGAATTTAACACAAAACGTCAAAATAATGTCCAATTGCCCAAAATTGCCTTCCCTTTTTTTAGTTTAATTGTCTACTGTTTAAAAAAATTGTAATCAAATTAAATCATTAAAATTATTGAATCAATTTGACCCAATTCATTTAAACACAATTCGATTCTATTTGGAACTACGTTTTTACATAATTTGTTTCTAAAAAAAATCATATAACATTATCAAAAAAAATTTACTTATTATCAATTTATCCAGAAATTATCTAGAATTGTTATCTTGTTAGAGCATCCGCATCAGACTCTCTACAATAGCTATTGTAGAGAGCGTTAGTATCAAATCCTTCGATTCTATTTGGAACTACGTTTTTACATAATTTGTTTCTAAAAAAAATCATATAACATTATCAAAAAAAATTTACTTATTATCAATTTATCCAGAAATTATCTAGAATTGTTATCTTGTATTCATATTTATTTTACATATGAATCTCACACTACAAAAAATTTAATATCCACTACACAACCACCCATTCAGAAAAATCTAGGTTGGAATTGATCCTTTAGGTTCAGATAGATCATGATCTTATAATTTTTTTCTTTTTTATCATTTTCCTTTATGCTCAATAATGACCAAATAATTGAATCTCTTATAGCGGTGACTATCCAATTTCAGTTTTCTGTCTGGTTTGACCAGTCTTTTTTTATCATTAATTTTCTAAAAGTTAGTTTTCCTAACTTTTGTTTTTATGAGTACTGCACCATGTATAAAATGATTTCTAATTATAATAATCCCCAAATTTTGCTCATGCAATTTCACTCTGAATGATGTGGAATTAGGGATGCTAAATATAAGAGAGAGAAGGGTGTGGAATCGTTTCACATGGAGGGTGGGCCATGTCATTGAGGTTGGAATTAGGAGCGCAAAATTAGGGAGATGTAACACCACTCATCCAATTATTTCATATTTTAGTCAATATCATCAAATTTATCAAGTATTTTATTAATACAAGAGGTACGTGTCATTTTTTTTTAAATTTGAAAAATTAAATATTATGTATATTTTTTGAAAAATTCAAAAATATTTAGTAGATTAAGTGATTATTCCCAAAAAATAATTTCTTCACCATCTTTATAAAAGAAATTATATTCAATCTCCATTACACCGTTTCTTGCACACTATTTGAAGAAAGGTTTAGATAAATACATACATGTACTAGAAAAAGAGGTTGCAACTCATAATCCGTGATTTGGTGGAAGTTGTTGTTTTTTATTGTGATTGTCAAAAAACTTGTAGAATTCATCAATAAAATCATGAAAAAAAATTCAATTAATTGGATATTGATAATTATATAATTGAGTATTAATTATGTGAAAAAAAAAGAGTCTATTATCAAATTTATACTGATTAGTTAATTTTTAAAAAATAAATATCATCTGATCATGTGACTATGAATGCTCAATTAATTTAATTTTTTTATTAATAATATACTCATCAAGTCTTGCAAGATAAACTATTTACATCACAATTAAACTTCCCAAACAAAGCTCTTATTGACCTTTTACTATAACAATTACGCGGCTTTTTCTCACTTGCTCTATTTGGGAGTGCCTAATGTGTCTTCTCATAGTCTTTTCAAGTGGTTGACATGAGACACTACTGTTGGCTCAACCAACCAAAAGCCAACATGTGTTTGTACTAGATGCTACCATTATTCGGACCATTGTTTCATAGAACAATAACGGAGGCAACATTTTTTGGAAGTTACAAATCCACTTCTCGCTCAACAAAAAGAATTTCGGGTAAGCCTTTGCCTTGCTAAAAATTTTAAATTGTTTTCTATTTGATTTTATGTATTCTGATTTGTATGGGAAGCTATATTTTGTTTTCTTTCATTTTTGCAGTGTTTAACTCTTCTTGCTTTTGATAAATTATGAATATAGTGTACTAGTTATGTGATAAAATTATCCAAAGAATACATTTACTATTCCCAGAACAAGGCAAAGTAAGTTATTGTAGAAAACCTCTAATGCTATGTGTGATTTAATAAATTTTTATTCCTTAGCTTTTGTACAAAATAACGGTCATTTGTGTGTGCTTTAATAAATATTCATTCCTTAGCTTTTCTATTAAATAACATTCATTTATAATAATAAATGATAATTTTGTTTATAATATATGTAGATTTATTTAGGAAGTAGTAATAGTAAATTAAACTTGAGAATAGAATGATCATTTTATTTCAATTGTATTTTATTGAACCAAAAACTACTTAGGAGTTGGATCCCACTAAATTTTTATTCCCTAAGATATTTTTTTCACTTTTCGCTTGTGATAATATTTTCTTATTAGTTTTGTTCATTTCATTTTTTCAAACACGCGTTCATCCAATATTTGATTGCATATTTCATGTTTGATGAAAGCTATATGATTTTTCTTCATTTTTGTAACAACCCTCGTCACTGTTTACCGATTAACCACTGATTACTGCTAAACTGAGACTGATTATGATTGGTAACTGAATTGATTGAAGTACTGAACTGACTGACTGAAATCTGGAACTGAATTGATTAAGTATATCTGTTTAATGGTATGTCTATATGTTGACTGTTTGATTATCTGCTCATGCCTTTGTGTTTAAATTGTGAATTGAAGACCTTATCGGCGGCCGAATCTGAAATTGATTGATGATTTGTGTTCATTGGAATTTATATGATTTTATGATGTAGTTATCTAAAATGTGATTTGGAATGATTAAATTAGGCTAAATGGTGTTAAATTGCATAGTTTGACTTCATTACATTAGTGCCACTTAGTGGCCACTACCTTATACATTTTGAGACTTGTATACATTGAACCAAAACATTTCCTCAGCCTTATTTGAGAGCTCTAGCCGGCCAAGAGAGAGTGAAAGTGAGAGTAGTGAATTCAACATAGAGATTTGGCTTGAATCTTGAGGAATTGAAAGCTTAAGTGCATAATTGAGCCTCTAGACTTGTAATTGAGGAACCTAGGTATGAATTTCCTTCTCTTAATTGTGTATTTAAGTTCCTTCTAGCATAGGTCATAGTAGATTAAAGAGTTAAGGCATGAATTGGTTCAAAAGTGTTGAATTGAAGCTTAATTATTGCATGCATGGTATACTCTTGCATTTTAGAGCTTGTTCTTCATAAATTTGCCACATGCATGTCCATGTTTTGATCATAAACCATGTTTTCACCTTGTCTTTGAAAATATTGGCTCATTAGAGCATGAAATTAAAGCTTTGAAATGGTTTAAATTCATGCATGTTATGTTTGAATTATGTTCATGAAAATTGGTTTCAAATTGAGTTGAATTGATCTTCCTTTTGGGCCTTGATTTTACAAATTGAGCTTTGAATCATGTTATTCTATGTATTTACAAATGTTTTCCAGGGAAAAGGGCCCAAAGGAATTGGTTTTAATGCATTTGAACTTGGTTTGAGCTTGGAAGTTCAAATCTGGAAATTCCAGATTTTGAACTCACGCTCACGCGAGGTTACTTGCGCTCGAGTGTGAAATTCATGC